GGCAGCCTTCGTCCTCATCCTCTGTTTTCCCTCTTTAAATCCATTTCTCACCTACATTACAGAGTGATTTTAAACTTTCAAATCTGATTGCATTGTTTCGCAATGTGAAACCCGCCATGGCTTCCCATGGCTCCTGGGACGAGTCCGGAGTCCTCAGGAGGCTCTGCCCTGCCAGCCCCAGCCCGGGCACCTCCTGCCACTCGGTCCTCTCGCCGCGCTCAGCCTGCAGTGCTCCCGCCCAGGCCTTTTGCTTCTGTCTTACTAACTCCCCTTGTCCTTCAGGCCTCAGCTGTCCCTTCAGGGAGGGGGTCACCGCAGCCCTAGCCAGGACCCTTTCTCAGGGACACTGTCTTTTCCTTTTTTATCACCTGAGGGAAATTTGTGTTTTGTTGTAGGCAGGGGAGGCAGAACCTTTCCTCTGTCCTCTTAAGAGTCTCCAGCTGGGCCTGAGAATTAAATTGACATAAAACAGATAAATAGGAGAAAAGCATACGCATTTATTGCCTTCACAGGAAAATGAAGACCTGAAAACTTAGGCCTATTAGGCCCAGGTGCTTATATATGAGGTTGAACAAAAGAGTAGTGATTGTGGAAAAATCACTAAATATACGAGAAGGCTACAGGGGGCTGAGGGCCACTTGACAGGGTTGATTTGTGCAGGTTCTCTCAGCTTCAGTGGCCCATCTCTGCTGATGAGAATGTTTTTTCCTCCTGGTACTGGGAGGGCATCTTTCACATGGGAATGTTATCTCTTCGCTTCAAGGAGAAAAGGGCAGGTCAGAATGCCTCCCCTGCATCTGCTTTTTTCAAGTCTCTTAAGCACAAAATAGCCAGTATGCCCAAGTGGCATATTTTGCAGAGCCATGTTCTAAACCCTCTCAGGTGCAAAATACACATAACATAAAATTTATCATCTTAAATGTATTGTTTGGTGGCATTAAGTACACTCACATTGTTGTGCCACTATCACCACCATCTCCAGAACCTTATCAGCCCAAACTGAAATACTCTCTGCACATTAAATACCGACTCCTTAAATACTTGCCCCACTTTCTTCGACCCCTGGCTCCCACCATTGTACTTGCTGTCTCCATGAATTTAACTAAGAACCTCATCTAAGTAGAATCATAACAAGACTTGTCCTTTGGCATTTGGTTTATTTCCCTCACTATAATGTCTTCAAGGCTTAACCACATTGTAGCCTGTGTCAGAATTTCCTTCCTTTCTAAGGCTGAATAATACTGCATTGTATGTGTAGACCACATTTTGTTAATCATCTTTGATGGGCACTTGGGCAGCTCCCACTCTTTGGCTGCTGTGGACATGGTGTACACGTACTGGTTTGAGTGCCTGCTTCTAGGTCTTTTGGGCTGGTCCCCGGAGACGGAGCTGCTGTCCTTTATTAATAAAGTATCTATCAGAGCTCCAGCAGTCGTGCAGCCAGCCGTCTGCGTGGTTCCTAAGAGGGGGGCAGGGGCATCTCTGTTTGGATCGCTCACTGCCGTGTCCCTAGCCCTGAGCACAGTGCCCCACACTGAGTAAATCTTGTTGAATCGCAAGTGAGTGAGTTTCCAATCTTAGCAGGTGGGGCCAAATGCAGCCTCCTGGCACACTTAGGTCTGGGTAGTCTCAGCTCCTGAAGAACAGATCTGGGGATCCCCCAAGGATTGACAAAGCTTCTCTGTTCCCGAGCCTGGGCCTAAATTTTCTCACTTAGTCTTCAAAACTGTGCTGTGCAGTTTGACTCTTATCCCTGTTTTGTAAGTGAGGAAACGTAGGCGTGGAGGCGCTACGTACATTACCCAAAGGCCTTACATCTAGGAAAGGGCTGAAGTGGGGCTCTGAGACAAAACTTTTTGATTCCAGAAATCACATACAAAACCATTCACCCCTGCTGGGGCAGAAAAGCATTGCTTTTTATATTAAAGCAAAACTGGAGATACTATGGAGTTAAAATTCGAAATTTGAATGTCATTTAAAAATAAAGTACATGGGACAGGGAAGCACATTTCCTACGTGCCTCAGTGTCCGGATCCATGTCTCTCAAGCCCGTGTCGCGTGTGAGCTCCTTCCTCGCCCTTCTCTGAGGGCACTGGGGAAAGAGGTTGAGACCGACATCCTGTGTGACACCCTTGACGGCCGCCCAGGGCCTCCCGCAGTTCTGTGCCTTGTGGAGCACGTGGCTGTGCAGGAAGGGAGTGACCACATGCCCAGAGTCTGCAGGCTGGCATCAGATGGGAGCACGTATGTCGGGTGTAGGACTGAAGGGGACCCTGACCCTGCAGATCAGAGCTCTTCTCCTCCCTGTGGGGGAGAAACCCAGCGCCAGCCCAGCAGAGCCATCTGCAGACCTCATCCCCACCCAGTTCAGCCCCACCTTTCTGGCCAGGCCTTCTGGTTAAGCCACAGTCTGGGGCCAGCCTCACTCCAGGCCTGGGAGGAGGGGAGCCGGAGGAAGGCAGTGCTGTGAGTGTTCCTTGGGAGGGACAGAGGGAGGGAGGAGGATGGTCTGCCTCTTTCCTCTTGGGGTGTAAGGAGGGGTGGGAGGCAAATGCAGATAAGAGGGGTGCAGGACCCAGCAGGCTGCAGCTGTCAGGAAGGGAGTGAGGCTTAGGGCTGCCACTCAGTTGATTGTTTGGAACTGGAGCCCATTTTCCCACAGAAACAAAGCTCAAGTGGAGGTTGGCTCCCCGCCTGGCCTAAAGCAGCCAGATTCAGCTAATAGCAAGACAGCCTCAGAGGAGCCTTCACACTCCCTGCCGTTGCCGGTGCTGGCGGGGGCTTCAGCTGAGCCTTGGAGACCACAGATCCTCGGCAGCTCTGCCAAGAGTTCTGGTGGCCGTGGGAACTGGGGCCCAGCCGAGGGCAATTCTTACACCAGCAACAGCACTGGGAAGCAGGGTGTGTGTGAGCGTGCGCATGTGTAGGTGTATGTGTGAATCTGACAGTGTGTGTGTTTAGACTTTTCTAAGCACAGGACATACTAAGGCATGGAGCAGGGAGCACGTGTCCCATACTGGGTAGCAGAGGGTTGCTCCATATCTCTGTGCCTCAGTTTCTTCATGTGGAAATGATAGTGGTAGGTTTTGATAGAGAGATAGCAGATAGAAGTGGACTAGATTGCTGGTTGGTTTTGAGGTATTTTCTCTTTTTTGCAAGCAGTCTTAAATAAGTCCCAAAAATCTGCCCTGATTAAAGTGTTGGCAGGGGTGGTGAGGGGCTAGCCACCCCCATGGCTTGCCTCTCCCACTCTGCCAGCCAGCCTTGCCTCAGTGTACCTCCTCAGAGCTCTAGGTCCTCTCAGAGCATTGTTTGAAAAGTCACTGGGCTACATCCACACACAAAAACACATACACTCGGGCAGACACACAGACACACATACCATACACACTCAAGCACACAGACATGACACACACAAAGACAGCTAGACACACACACAGGCAAGGACACGCACAGAAACACAGACTCTCACACGCACACTATCCCTCCAGCCCCAGCATCATCAAAGGTCACAGAGGAAGTGCAGGGCTGCAGGTAACACTCCAGAGTAGGGGTGACACTGACCTCTGGGCTCAGGTCCAGTCAGCCCCTTGATAGCTGTGCAGCCCTGGGAAGGCCAATCCCCAGGTCTGAGCTGGAAAGCTGTTAACGCTGGGGTTTGGGATTATGATCCACAAGCTTCCACAAGGCTTTGGAAGCTGGAAATCCCTCTGCAAGTGGCAGGGACTGCTGTGGCTGCAGACGTGACCCATGAGGCCCGAATTCCAGCCGGGCAGCACCAGTCCCGTGCAGGAGTGTGCAGCTCACATTCCAAGGCGTGCCAGGCCCTGTAGGGTCAGGGGCCCAGGGTCCTCCTAAAGGGGGGTGTGGGGTGGGAAGCGCTGGGCTGGGGGAGGAGGGAGTGTCACTGGGCCGGGGTCTGGGAGGGGCCCTGAGAGAGGAGGGAGGCTCTGGGAAAGCTCCCATTGGTCCACGCTTTGACAGTGACAGGAGCAAGCTCCCCCATCCTGGTGAGCTGGGGCCCCCCAGGTTGCCAAGGCAACTGTTGAGCACACAAAGATCCAGGAGCAAGGACGCCCCACCCGGAAAAAAAACATCCTGGCGGCTGGAGCAGAAGCAGAGCTCTGTGGGAGGGGCTATTTTTAGCTGCTGAGGCAGGACTTGTATGGCCTTGCCGTCTGGATGCATAACTCACCCATTGTCCCACCTGACCTTGGGCAAAAGGCTAAGAGGCCCGTCTGCCCCTGCCCTCTGGCACAGACCCTCTCTGGGGTGCCCCTGGGCCATGGAGAACCCTGGGAGGAGGAGGCTGGCCTAGAAACACTCACCCTGTGGCCTCAGGTAGTAAGACTTCCCCTTGAGGGCCCCCCAGGTTGGTATGGGGTTCTGCGGCAGCTGGGGGCACTGGACCTTCTTGGGAGAGAAGCAGAGGCCCTGTTAGGACAAGAGCCCTGGTCTCCTGGTGTGGAGGCTGAGCGCTGTCCCCACCACACAGCTGGCCGTGCAGACATGAGGCTGACGCCAGAGGAGGACACAGATCCTTTTACCGTAGACGTTTTCTGCTTCAGCCACGTCCTGGGGTCGGCTCTGCCGCATGCCTTGTGGGCTGAGGTGTGCGTGCCCTGCTCTTGGGGGTGTGATGTCTGCAATCGATCCTGGGCACAAGCACCATAAGGCAGGTCCCAAACTAGGCTGTGGCCTCAAGGATGAAAATAGCTGGTGGGAAGCAGGCCGTCCAAAGCAAACACTCAGGCAGCCAGAATGCCCTGGGTCTGGGCCTTGCAGGCGAGGCCACCTCTAGCTGCCCCTGCCCAGAGTCAGGGCATGGGATCCCAAAGGGTAGGCACCCTGCTTCAGGCCCCTCCTCCTGGCCCAGGGTGCTCCCTCCTAACAGGAATCCTAGGGCCAGGAACTGGCTCCTCCTGCCTTTCAAAACCTGGTCTTGAAAGATAAGTACTAGGAATTCTTGGTGGGTGGACAGAAGAGAGGAAAGGGAATCATTCATTCAACAAATGTTTATTGAACACCTATTATGTGCCAAGCACTGTCCCAGGAACCTGGAAAAAGGGTCTGGGGTAGCCTGGATCTGTCCCAGCTGTGGCCCTCTCCTGGGACAGGGTAGGAGGGGCACTTGAAGCCTCCCCAGGAGGTGGAAGACCAAGTATACGGAAGGTGAAGGCCTCTAGAAATGAGAAGGCTGGGGATGTGGGGACTCCAAGACTGGTATCTTCCCTGGGGCCAGAGGGGGTCACGGCAGAGCCAGTGCCCCAGAAGCCCATAGCTGTAGGAGGCCCCACGTCCCCCAGCATCACCTTCTCTTCAACACGGATATGCAGGACTTCTTGAGGGGCCCGATCTGCAGGTGGGCGTCCACACTTTCCAGGAAGAAGGCAGGCTTGAGCCTGCGCGTGAAGAGCCCCGCAAAGTGGACGTCCAGGCGGCTCTGGAAGGGGTCAATGGGAGAGGCCGGGGCGCTGCTCCGGCGGGCCCGGGAGGCCTTTAGCCTCCGCAGCAGGCTCATCTTGCCTTCCCGCACGGCATAGAAGGCTAGGGCTCGATCGGCGTATTCCAGGCAGATCCCGACTGTGGGCGAGAAGGGGTGGGGCAGGTGCACCTCCAGCCCATGGAACCAGACGGAGAAGCTGCGACCATTCCACTGCAGGCAGCAGGAGTGGGCATTGCGGCCGAGCCGGCCCCGGTCGTAGGGCTCTTGTGGAGAGAAGTCTTCGGCCATGACCCCCACGCTGACCCAGCCCTCAATGATCTCCACCTCCCAGTAGTAGGTGCCCCGGTCCAGGGCGCCCTCGCCCAGCACCTGCTCGCAGTGGGTGAAGCGGGTGGGTGACTCGGGGTAGTTGATGGGACACAGCACCCTCTTTACACCTTTGGTTCCAAACAGCTGCAGGAACTTGTCTGCCGTGTCGCTGTCCAGGTCCACGATGTAGGCAACTGCTCCCACAGATGGAGAAAGACACAGGGCTCAGGGGCAGGCTTGGGTAGGATGCCCTCCCCTAGGGGTCCACCTTCCCAAGCACAGCCTCTCCCCTCTTTTGCAACCAGGACAACTCAGCCCCGTTGGAGAGCACCCTGCAAGTCAACTTAGTTCACCCCATAAATGAGGGAGGGGAAGCATGACCTCATGTTCCAAGGCCCAGACCAGCAGCACAGGGGAGGCCCAGCGTGAGCAGTGTGGGGAGCCCAGGTGCCTGCTTACATTTGAGGAAGTAATCCCTGGGAGCCTCACTCTCCAGGTGGTTGGTACTGTCGGGGTCTTGGGACTCGGCTTCTGCTGCGGAAGGGGAGACAGTCGGGCGGGGCCTCTCTAGCCACCTGTGGCTGGGCAGCTGTGCTTGGTCCTGCCTTCCCCAAAACCTGTGACTTACATCCCCCTCCTCCCCGTTCCTCCCAGCCTCCCAAGCTACCGGTGGACAGGCACATGCCCAAATACGGGCACCTGTGTTCGCACGCATGCCTGGACCTCCGGCCCTGCCCCTGCCCCACCTCCTCCCTGGGCCTCAGCCCCTGTGAGGCTGAAAGGTGGGCCCAGAGGAGCCCTGTCTACCCCTCAGGCTGTGGCCAAAGGGCTGACTGGTCATTACAGGGTGGTGGCTCCTGTCACTGGCAGCATTTGGGGCCCACCCTGCACCAGGCACATACTTTCCATCCTCTGCTCCCGAATGGGCACCAGGTCTGGGGGCTGGTGTGGGGAGACTGGGGAAGGGTGAGTCACATCGGGGGGCTCCCACCTTCTGTGCCCAGCTTCTGCAGCTCATCCTCATCGCCTCCCGGGCCCCGCAGCCGCTCCCACTGGCTGGCGCAGGCTGCTCTCAGGGCGTCTCTCACCGCCTGCACAGCCTGGGATGACTTGGTGAAGCTGAGCTCCCTCGGGGGACCAGGCCCAGGGCCACACCCCTCCTCCAGCGCCAGCCTGAGTGCCAGGAGCTCCTGTGCCAGAAAAACACCCAGTAAGGCCTTGCTGCCCACAGCTCTTCCTGGCTGGGATGAGACAGCTCTGCCAGGATGCTGGCACAGCCACGAAGACCAGGTGCCCCCCACCTTGTCCTCCCTCCGCCTCACTGCCCTCACCTGCAGGAAGTTGACTGAGTCAGCTTCAGGGACCTGACTAAGGTTGTGGCGGGCTTGGCTTAGCCTGCTGCGCTGTCCCTCCTGCCGCCGCAGGTCGCCCTGGGAGCGGCCGAGCATGGTGGCCTCCCCCTCGTCGATGAAGCCCAGCACCTCTGTCTGGAACCCCTGCAGTATGGCTGCAGCCTCAGCAAACAGCTGGCTCACCCTCTCCCGTTCTGTCACAGCTGCGCTCTGCACGGAATGCCGGTGGGGGCAGAATGAAGGCAAAGAATGTCACTGACCCCGTTCTTTCTATCTTGCCCTCTTGGGGGGACAGAGGGACCAGCTTGAGCTGCCCTGGATCTGTGCCAGGTCAGGGGAGCCACTCATCCATAGGCTTCTTCAGGGTGGGCTGCACTGTCTGAAAGCACACATCGCCAGGGACCTGATGCCGGAGTGGAAGGGGATGGGGCTGTGGGGGGTGGGGGGGGTCTGACCTTGATGAGGGCCACTGTGCGCCGGGACTGTGCGATGCTGGCGCCCAGCGCGTCCATGTGGTCCTCCACGGCACTCAGGACTTTGGGCTGTTCGGCCTGTGGATGACAACCTTGATGAGCATGGGGTCTGGCAGAGGCCACAGCCTGGTACTGGGGTCCCAGGTCTCACCAAGGAGGAGGGGAGGAGTGACCTAGGCATAGGTAGGACTGGGAGTAGCCACGATGTCCCATAATATGCCAGAGGTGCCTCAAGCCCAGATGGTGCCGCTCCCAAATGCCCTGGGAGAGCACAGGCTGGCTGGCTGGGGGTTGTTCTTCCCCCCTCTGACCAGTGGGCAGGTACAGGACCATCCCTGGTCCTCAATGTCACCCACATTCATCTGACAACTTTCTGCACAAGAGGGTACTCAGCTGCTCCGGGGATGACTGTCCCCCAAGAGTCTGTGCCCCCAATCCAGGCCTGAAAAAAGGGGATTCCGGGCAAATCCCCTGGGTCTTATGAGTCACTGCTCCAGGCAGGAGAGACGGAAAATCCCAAGGCCAGGGGCGCCAAGACCAGGCTGGAGGCCAAAGGAAACTGGGGGTGGAGGTAGGGGGATGGGCTGTGTGCACATGCTCCCTCCACGGGCCCCGGGAACAGCTGGACAAGAGAGGTCTGTGTGCTGGGCATACCCTCTGTGGCACTTCTGTCGCCTGCCACACCCATTCAAACCCGCTGCCCCAGGCCATGGCAGATGTGAGCCGGACCACATGATCTCGGCCAGCCAGGTGCGGGAATCGGCCCCCGCGAGCCTAGGCCAGCTCCCTCCTGCCTTAGACCTTCACTGGCCCCAGTCCGGGATTTAGGGCCGCTGCCCGCCCTTCGCATCCTCACTGGGGCCCTCCATGCCCCCATTCCCATCTCTAACGGAATGTGCTACAGCGAGAGGGTGCCACAGTCAGGGCTGGAAGGGGCAGCTAAGGTCCTCGGCTTAGAGGAGGAAATTAAGATCCAACCCGGGAAGGATGGGCCCTCCACCAGCTTTTGCGCGGCCCGCCCGCGGTGCCGCCACCCCACCTCCTGGAGCGCGCGCTCCTGCTCCAGCGGCACGAGCTCGTGCCCCCGGTGCTCCTGGGCGGCGCAGGTCTCGCACAGGCACAGGCGCTCCGCGCGGCAGTAGCGCTCAAGTGGCCTCAGGTGACGCGGACACAGGCTCTCCTCCAGTCGGCGCAGCGGCGGCACAAGGCGGTGTCCCCGCAGCGCCGGGCTGCGCTCGTGCGAGCCGAGGTGCGCGGGGCAGAAGGACGCCAGGCAGGAGAGGCAGGAAAGCGCGGCGGGCTGGGCGGCGCCCTCGGGGCACGCGTCGCAGCGCACCGGCTCTTCACCCGCCGGCCACGGTTCGGGCGCGCAGGGCGCCGACGGCTCCGGGGCGCTGGGTGGCGCACTGGGCGTCGCGGGCTCAGGGGCCAGGGCCGGGGCCGGGCCGGGGCCGGGCCCCGGCCCTGGTCCCGAGCCCTGGCGGAGCTGCAGCAGTTCGGACAGAGTGTGGTTCTTGCGGAGCTGCAGGCCGTCGGGGAAGGGCTCCTGGCACAGCGGGCAGCGGGCCGAGCCTCCAGACCCACCGGCGCCACCCGCGCCGCGGTGCGGCCAGAGCGCGCCCAGGCAGGCGAGACAGAAGTTGTGGCCGCAGGGCAGCGTCACCGGCTCCCGCAGCGGCTCCAGGCAGATGGGGCAGCTGAAGGGCCCGCTGCCGTCCATTGCTCTGCGGCCGCCTGGGGCACCGCCTGATCTTCTCCCGCCTGGGAGGGACCCGGACCGGTCACGCCGCGGCCCCGCCCCCTGGGACCCAGGCCGAAGGCCCAGCCCCTGCCTGGCCCAGGCTCGGGCCGCCCCCAGCGCCACGAGCCCGCCCTTCTGTCCCCAGACACCAGCCCAACCCTGATGGCGCGGGCGACTGACTGTCTGGGGCTCCGGGGCGACCGCCCCTCGTGGGCCAGCGGGTCCGCGCGGCCTGAGGGGAGGGGTGTTGGGCAGACAACGCGAGGGGGACACGCCCGAAGGAGCTGGGAAGGAAGTCACCCCTCGTTCCCCCACGTCCTCCACCCCAGGGCCAGGCCGGGCCTCCGGAGGGGCGGGCAAGTCACTGTCACACCAGCCCCTCGGTGCAAAGGTCCTGTGCAGCTGACTGAGGGATAAATAACCGCTGATAAGCGTGTGTTTTTGCCCCTTAGCGACTCTGTTTACCCCGGTGGGGGAACTTCGTCTTTTCTAAACCTAAAGGAGAAGCAGACGTCATCCTTCAAGAACCTTGTGCAAGGATTCAGTTCTAGCCCAGGGCACTCGTGGTGCGGCACGTGTGGTGCGCCTGGGGCTATTGGGGTGCATTCTTCAAGTAGAGGCATTTGTTAGGACACATCCAGCTTTGCACCTAAAAGGTGCGTTTCATTGTGCCAAGTCATACCTCAATAATGTTTAAAAAAAATAGATTGGCAACAAAATAACTAAAGTAGCATTGTATTATAACCCAGAGTATATATAAGTAAACACCCATGAATCCATGCTGATATAAAGAAATGACTGAATAAATAAATCCATGAGGGAGAATAGACAAATTTCCCCTTGAGAGGAATTCCGAATAATTTTGGGGATACTCCAAGGTGGAGCATAACTCCCCACTCCTTAAGTGTGGGCTGTGCCTAGTGGCTTTCTTCCAGAGAGAACCAAAGAGTGACTTTACAGTGGAGAAACCTGACAGGCACTACCTCAGCCAGGTGATCAAGGTCATTAGCAATGGAGATAAGTCAGGTGGATAGTAAGTACCCTCGCTATGATATGGTCGTCCTCCCAAAAAACTCCATAAAACCCATACTCCCAGCCTCATCATGATTAAAACAGCAGACAAATCCCAAATGAGGGACAGTTCACAAAACTCCTGGAAACTGTCAAGGTCATCAAAAACAGGGAAAGTCTGAGAAACCGTCTCAGCCAAGAGAGGCCGAAGGAGACATGATGAGCAAATGCCATTTATATTCTGGATGGGTTCCTGAAATAGAAAAAGGGCCTTAGGGAGAAACTAAGGAAATTTGAATAAATTATGGAATGTATTTAATACAAATGTATCAATATCAACTCTTTAATTGTGACAGATGTACCCCAGTCTTGTGAGATGTTAATAAAAGGGGAAATTGGGGGTGAGGTCTAGGGAAACTGAATTATCTTTGCAACTTCTGAAAATTTATAAATATTCTAAAATTAAAAATGCATTTATAAAATACAGAATAATTGAGGCAATTCTTCCTACTCCCAGGACTGAACACATCCTTTTGATGAAAGCCTGATGTGGAAGGAATAAAGGGGGGTGGGGGTGGCGAGCTTAACCTTCCTTGCAGTGCCAGGGCCCCCTTTGAAGCCTGGGGCAGCCTACAGAACCCTTTCCAAAGCAATGCTTTCAAGTGCACAAAATAAAACAAATAAAGTGTGCAGGATTCCATAGAAACCAACTATATTGAAATACAGGGAGAAAATATTAATATTTGTGATAAAGTTATATATGTGTTTCTATAACACCATAAATAACAAGATCTGATGAAGGCCTAATAATTATTATTTTTTTTGAGATAGTGATGAATATAAATGATATTTCAAGTTCTCTGTCACCACTGTAATGTGCTATGAAAATATCTGTAATTTCTACTGGTGACAAGTCACAGATATTGCTAATACCATTGTGGTGTGTTCTCTCCATTTGTAATAGAAAGAAATGCTAAATTTTGGTTGGAGGACAGTGAAAATAAAGATAATTCCCCCACCCCCACCCCAAGATCCCAGGTTAAGAATGCCTAATTTAGAAAAATGCTCTGCAGAGCATCCTGACATCTTTCCAGGAAGGAGAGAGAAAAACTTAAGATTTTTTTTCCCTACACCAGTTTTATTTAAAACACACATATTTCTCTTTCTGTGACGGCAAATGGTTCAAATAATGTTGAACAGGAATCATTGACTAATTGATACAAGGACTTAAATATGAAACAAGGTTACTTTTAAAAAGGCAAAAGAATAAAAGTTATATATGAAAAGGACTTGGAATCTATAGGCTGATTCCCAAAAAATGGAAAACCAAGATTTACTGAATAGTAAAAGAGGTGATGGGAATCTAGTAACCACAATGTTGCTCATGTGATTGTAGATTCATGATGCCATCATAAAAAGCATATATGAAAAAATAAATAAATAAAAAATAGGTGAGATCCAGGGGGATTCATGGGAAGGTGGGGAATCGTGGAGACCCTCATGGAGGAAGTGGCATTCAAGCTGGGCTTCGGCAGACTGCTGGGACTCAGGGGAGGAGAAAGTAGGGCAGAAGAAGATCTGGGCAGAGGAGTAGCCAAGGGAACAGCCTGGGTGTGCCCAGACTGGCAGGAAGGCTGGTAATGAGTTCCATACATTGGTTTCCACAAGGGGCACTTGATCATGACCATCTCGTTTGCCAAGATCCAGGAATGGTTCAGAAGCTCCGGCAGCGGCACTGCGCTGCTCTCATGCTCGGCAGTCAGGCTGCCTGGGTTTGCTGAGACCACAGACCTGCCTGGTTCTGGCGGGGACAAGCGTGCCATTTAGGCTGGGGGTTGTTCAGGGACAAGTTCCAGCCGACCCTCTGCTCCCCACCCCACAGACTGTGATGGTTTGTCTGGGTAGTGGCATTCTGATGTTTCATTCCCATTATTATAGCTTTAAAGTTGTCCAATATATTAATTCTTTTTGAAATGAACTGGCTCTTAAGGGGAAAGGGTAACTGGCACTTTTGAGGTCGTACCTGCATCTCCCTCTGCCCCTGCAGGGCTGTGCCATGAAGGATGGGAAATGGAATTTCAACATATCTTGCCAGAGGTCCTTCAGAGGAGGCAGAATTTAAACCCAGAAAGTGCAACCTGAAAATAATCCTAAACCTGCAAAGAAAACAAAACTAAACTAAACAAAACTACTTCTCCACAAACAAAGAAGTTTAGTAAAAACATGTAGACCCCAATATAACTCATTTGCCAAAGTAAGTTTCCTACAAAACCCTTTCTAAGTGGTAACTGGATAAAATTACAATATTTGATGTTGTTCAGCATGCAGTTATTTAGATACTTTTCTTATTTGTACCCTACTTCCATTCATTCATGAACTAAATTTCAATTACTTGGAGGAAAGAGATTGTTTGTTCATCTGTCTTTTCTACATCAATGGGTAGAAATATCTTACAGTGGTTCATATTCAATAAATACCATTTAATGTGAAAAAAAATAATGATAATAATCCTAAACCTCATATATGACCCTGTCTGCCTGCCATATTGCTTCAAGGAAAAAAAAAACAGAAACAAAAACAGCAAAAGCAGTCCAGCAAATGAGAATAATTAGCAAGCCATTCCTAGCTTTGCTTGCGTCTCTGAAAGAAACTGAAACGGGATCCAAGCCATGTCCAACCAGGGCACTTTTTTTTCATGCTTTTAATGTACTTTAAAAAATGATTTGTATTTATTTCAAAATAATGTATCTGAGTATTTGAAAGGTAACAATTTAATGAGGATTATAACAAAAGCTGCCAGTCCTATGCCCTGCCTACTTGATTCTTACTCCCGCAACCAGTTTCAATGCTTACAACTGTTCCCTTAGTTATTTACCTCCACATCTTTAAAGCACGAGCTCTTAAGCCTTGGACATCCATTTGGATATCTGGGCTTGTATTCCTGGAGATTGATTCTTTTTTTTTTTATCATTAATGTACAATTACTTGAACATTATGGTTACTAGACTCCCCCTATTATCAAGTCCCCCCCACATACCCCATTACAGTCATTGTCCATCAGTGTAGTAAGATGCTGTAGAATCACTACTTGTCTTCTCTGTGCTATACTGCCTTGCCCGTGTCCCCCCAACTGCTACATTATGTGTGCTCATTGTAATGCCCCTTTTTTCCCCGTATCCCTCCCTTCTCACCCATCCTCCCCAGTCCCTTTCCCTTTGGTAACTGTTAGTCCATTCTTGGGTTCTGTGAGTCTGCTGCTGTTTTGTTCCTTCAGTTTTTCTTTTCTTTTGTTCTTATACTCCACAGATGAGTGAAATCATTTGGTACTTGTCTTTCTCCGCCTGTCTCATTTCACTGAGCATAATACCCTCTAGCTCCATCCATGTTGTTGCAAATGGTAGGATTTGTTTTCTTCTTATGGCTGAATAATATTCCATTGTGTATATGTACCACATCTTCTTTATCCATTCATCTACTGACGGACACTTAGGTTGCTTCCATTTCTTGGTTATTGTAAATAGTGCTGCGATAAACATAGGGGTGCATATGTCTTTTTGAAACTGGGCTCCTGCATTCTCAGGGTAAATTCCTAGGAGTGTAATTCCTAGGTCAAATGGTATTTCTATTTTGAGTTTTTTGAGGAACCGCCATACTGCTTTCCACAGTGGTTGAAGGAGACTGATTCCTTATCATTTCTCTTTTGGGTTGAACTCCCTGTTGCTTGGATCCAGGGTCCTCCAACTTTATTGACTTACTCCTTCATTTTTGAAAAGCATATCCTCTGGGAGCTTCCTGTGATTGGATGTGGAGGTGTTGACGGACGGCTTGGCTGGGTATGCAATTCTAGAACGGAAGTCCTTTCCCCTCGGAGCTGTAAAGGCCTGGCTCCATGATGTCCCAGCTCCCAGTCCCTTGTTACTTGATGCCGCATTTCCTACAGTCACCATGCTACGCCCTTCCTGCCTGGGGAAGAGCAGCTTCGTATTCTCCTTACCCCTCACGTCTCTGGCCTCCAGTCTGACTTCCTCCCACTCCACTTGCCCCGAGTGCCCATCTTTTAAAATCTCCCCTGCCCTTATTCTGTCTGTGCACCCACCCTCCCGGCTCTACCCCACAGAAGCCCAGACACTATGAGCGGTGGGCAGATATGCCGGAAACCTCCACAGGCTAACCAAATGTGTTCCCTTTATAAATGTTACACCCCCAAGTCCATGCTTCCTTTTCCCTCTGTTTCAATGCATTTTTCCTGGACAGGAGGTGGAGAGTTCTGTCTGAGTTGAGTGGACTAAGTGATTTAAGTTGAAGCAGCTTTCGGGAAGACGGGTAAATGCTTGCCCCACACCCACCTGAGAAGCACTGCTCCACGGCACACTCTACACGAATGGCAGTAGCATCTGACGACACGTAAGTAAGGGCATGAGTCACAGTGAAGAATGCACTCCACTGTCCTTCTGGAAAGGACCAATAACCTGATCACAAAGTAAATTCATAGAATGAACCAAAATACTTCCACCACGGAAGCAGAAGAGGGCCTTTCTTCCTTTCTCTGCCCTTCAGACTGTGGGCTCAGCCATTTGGACATGCACGTTGTGCCTTTGGGGTCAGGAGGGTTGGTAAGAATCTGTATACCAGAGCAGCCAGCAATGGCCCCTTGGCCAGCCTAATCCTGCTTTCTACCCTACTGGGCCTGTCAACAACTGCTCTTAACCCAGCTGGTCAGCAAGGTCCCCACTGTCTCCTGTCATTCTGTGGGGCTTCCCAGTGTTAGAATCCCCTCCCCACATTTCAGAAACTCCCCACCATAGGAATTTTTCTGGAAGCTTCTTACCCAGGCTGTACCAATCAGAGGCCTGGCCCTACCCTTGAACAGAGAGCCACACAGCCGAGGAGCAAGGCCACAAGATGTCGTTTGCAACTGTGGCATCAGCTGGGACAGGTTACAATATGGGAGGGAGATATATTTTCCACAGATACCAAAATATTTGGTGATTGCTTCAGCAGCACATATACTAAAATTGGAACAATATGGAGAAGAAGATTAGCATGGCCCCTGTGCAAGGATATCACACAAATCTGTGAAACGTTCTGTACTTTTAAAAAATTGCACTTTTGGGGGATGTGTTTTTGCATGTTATCTTCTTAAATTTTTATTGTGAAGTATTTATACAGGTGTATATAAAACATATATGCACTGTATAAAATTTACAAAGCAAATGCCCTTGTAACCATGACCTGAATCAAGCAAAATGCTTCAAGTAAGAAAATTACAGCTGCCCTTTGACCCAGCAGCTCCATTTCCAGAAACACAAGCAAAAACACGTCCAGGGATCTTCACTGAAGCATGTCTGAACACCAGGAACCAAACCACGGGGAGCTCGCGCTGTCCTGGCACTCACACACGTCACTGCCCTTCACCCCACAGCCGGCAGGGCTGACAGGGCCCAGGCTCTGCAGCGCTGACTCGGCTGATGCGACTGGAGTGGGCGACGGGCACTAGTTGGCCTGACTTGTGGTCGCTTCATTTTGGCCTTTTGTATGAAAATAAAATTTTCAAGTACTTATTGTTTTTCCTGTTTTGAGGAATTCTACTTTGGTATGTTAGCCTTTACACATAGCCATAAACATGGCCAAGGCTTCCTACTCAAGAATATTCATCACAGCAATGTTTTTATAGCCCCAAACAAATCAATTTGAATACCCAATACAGGTTTCCTCCACTAACCGAATGTAGAGCGTCTCTGAAAACTTCTGTAAGCAAAGTGGCATAGAGCGGAGTGTCCCTAGTTTTCAAAAGTCCGAGCTATGCCACCGATTTTACACAAGACCCATAGTAGTATGGTAAGGCTTTTTTTGTAAAAGTGAAAATCCTCTTTGGATTTTCTTCTGTTAGCAAACACAAATACCACTGTAGGTGTTGTAAAAGTGAAGTGGTATAACACAAACTTTTGGAAAGTGAGGGATACCAGTAACGGGTAAGTGAATTCTGATAGTCCTTAGAAAGACTATGTATACTGTAATGGTTCAGGGACAAATTTTAATACTGTGAGAAATGTTTATGTCACAATAAAAAAATGCAGAAAACACAATTGTTTATCAAAGGCAATCACAAGAATGTACAAAATAAAAGAGACTAAAATAAACCCAAATAATCAGGGAAAAAAAGAGCCAGGGAGGGAGGAGGTAAAAATCACTTTTCTCTAGATTTTCTCTAGGAACTGTCTGCGCTTCCCCTGCCCACACACTGGCGCCCCACACCAGCTCTGCGGGAGGCAAGCTACAGTTGGCGTGGCGCTGCCTTGCCCCACTTTCCGTGGTGTGTACCACATTGCATGAGGGCTCTTTTCTGCAGGACAGGAGCCCCTGGACACCACACTAGCCTCTAAGGCCCAGGCAGCACCCAGAACCGGGCTCTGCTCGGGGCAGGGGTTTCCCAGTTTCTTCCCTTCCCAGGCCCTGTTTCCTTCCAAGAGGCTGGAAAAGTGAACTCCAGCCTGGGGGCTCTCTGCAGAACCTCCATCTCCAAGCGGCCAGGCCTGGTCGTTAGTCCATCTTCTGGCCAACAGCTGGTCCCATTACAGCTGTGGCCATGGGGCAGGGGCAGGGGCAGGGGCTCTTGGGCACACAGGCATGAGCTTCAACCTGTGCCTTCCTTAGCTGAAGCCCGAGGCATCTTCCTGGGACTCTGGAGGGAGCTTGGCTTCAGGCCGAGGGCACAGGGTCAGGGTCCTACCCTCTAGGAGCCAGAAGAAGGGGCAGAGAGGCTGGGTGAAGAAGGCATGACAGGTGTGCAGGGCCTGGGCCCTGGGTTCCAGGATGCAGAAGGTGAGGCAGCCAGAGGCCAGGTCCAAATCCACGCCCAGGAGCCATCCAAACACACCTGGGAGGCACTGGGCCTCTGCACTGTGGGAGGCCTGGGCACAGTCCCCCTGAATGCAGAACCCCCAGGAGGTGGGTCCGCAGCCAGTGTTGTCTGCCTGGGGCTCCAGCTTATGCCGTGTCAGTGCTGGGTAGGCGACACCCAATGTCACTGAATGGTTAGATGTGTGCACTTCCCAGTAGTGCCACCCCGCCTGGAAGCTCTGCACTTGCCAGAGCTCGAAGCTGCCGGGCCAGGCTGGGCCCCGGGGCCCGCGACGACGAAGCTTACCTGCTGGTCCTGCCGAGACAGGTAGAGGTGGCGGCTGGCGCTGTCTGGATCAGAAGTCAGATTCCGATAGTCTGTCAGGGAGAGATGACCAGTGATCAGCGGGCAGACGCTGGTGCACATCAACCATCCTGTCCTCAGAGGAGAGAGACAGCAGCTGATGCTGCCCTAATGGGACGCTAATCGTCCAGCATACTGCAAGCTGAACGAGCATCAGCCAAGCTTTTAATCCTCACTGAAGTGGGCCCTTCCATTAGCCTAATTTCAGATGAAACTCAGGTTCAGGTAAAACAGGTTCAGAGAGGTAATCTCGGTGGTAAGGGGGAGAATCCGGGTTGATCCCACGCCTGTGTGCCTAGAATCTCCTTAAACACTATGCTGGTTCCTGTGGACGAGGGGTGCATCCTACAGCAGGCAGCAGACCCAGGGAAGGGCATGGAACACATGTGCCCCCCTCATGCAGTCACATGTGCCCACAAACATGCACGTGCTCACAGCGCCTACAAATGTGCTCATAGAGCCCACATGCATGCCCAGTGCACTCACCACGCAAGTGCACACGCTTACTCTGCCAAGTTTCCTCCTCCACGGACAAAGCTGGCTTGGGACTGATGTCAAGGGACCCGTGGCCTGTAGGGGGCAAACCAGTGTTAGGGGAGTGACGAGACAAGAGAGGAACTCATGTTGAAGGGGACTTGAATCCACTCGCACCTCCAGTGGGAGGGGCAGCTGGGTCCAGAGGAGGAGGGAGAGATCGGTGTCAGCCTTGCCCATGGGGCCCAGGTCTGCAGCCTCAGCTGGTAACCTTGGGTGGCCCCTTTTGTCCAGGAGGAGGTCACACTGATGGCTCAGTGACTCCTTCAGGCCACCCAGCTGCTGATCTTCGTCCCACTGGGGAGGAGTCAGTGGCCCAAGGGGTACTGGGGGCTCCAGAAACTGTGATTCCTGAGCCCCAGGGACAGCTGCAGTTAGCCCAGGTAAAAGCGGCAGGCATGCCAGTCTGCCAACCTGCCACCCTGAGGCCTGGTACCTGGAGGAAGGTCCGGTCATCCAACTGCTCTAGGAGGTCCCAGATCCTGAGGTCATAGTGACCCAGGGCTTCCAGGTGGCCCCGCAGTTGTTGCTCCCTGTCCTGGGCTGTGCCAGTGCCTGTGTCTTGGCCACCTCGACGTCCCTCCGTGCCAAGGCCTGCTGCATCTCCAAGGCCTGCAGCAGGCAGCTGAACTTGCCAGAGACCATGGAGGCCAGGGTGCAGGCTGAGCTCTGGGTGGGCACAGGAAGAGCCAGGGTCAGGACTGCCCACTGGGCTGAGGGGTGGGATGTGGGGAGCCAGGGTCCCTGGAACCTCTTCTCCCCACTCAGCCCCTCCCTCTCTGCTTCCAGGAGGCATTTTCAAGATGGCTCACGCCTACTGCCCAGAGTCCCAGGCCCCAGCTGGTGGCTGCCTAAAGGACACAATGTGAGGACGAGGTGCAGGTGGAACGGACTGGCCCTGCACCTGGATCTGGCTGCTTCGCCGCGGCAGCTCCTGTAGCTGGCTTTTCAGCCTGGGGTGGCCTGTGGCTGGGTGACCTCCAGCACGGCTTTCAGCTGGGCCTGTAGTTCCCAAGGGGGAGGAGTGACAAGAGGGGGCCAGGATTAGCTGTGAAATCCTCCCTCAGTCAATCAACAAACAACTGCAGATGCTGCACATTGCCTCCTCATGCTGTCCCAGGCGAGGCTGGCTGGGGGCCAGCACACAGAGCACCAGCCTTGGTCTGAGCCCAGACGAATTGGGCTAGAATTCCAGGGAGGCCTAGACAAAGCCCCTTCCCCACCTAGAGCAGGATGGTGCACACGAGGAGCAGCAGCCTGACGCTGAAGACCTGCCTTCCAGTCCTTTTGAGCAGAACACCCACCCTCTCTGGGCTGTAAACCCACCCCTCACTACCCTAAGTCAAGAAACAGGAGCAGTGCTTAGGGTTTAGGTGGCCTGGTGGGCAAAGGGTGATGGCCCAAAGCTGTCTGCCAGGCCGGCGGCGCACGGACAAGTGGGGTTTTCAATGCCTGGCTAGTCCTCAGCCCCAGCCTCACTGGTTAGGAGAGAAAGAAGGCATCCCTGTTTGGCTGTGACCCCTCTGGTGCCCTTGGGGATCAAACTGTGGTGACTCTCATGGGAGCAGGACAAACCGCCATTCTGGCCCACCCACCGGGACTTGGTTCCTGGCATCTGGTCAAAAGCCCATTTTACTTTTGTGCTCCTCCCGGTAACACTTTGTGGTCAGGACCATCCTTAGCCCCACTTCACAGGTGAGGAACCAGGTCAGAGAGGCTGATAATTTGGCCCAAGTCATCAGCTCTTCCTGAGTCTGTGCCTCTGCCTGTCCAGGCCCCCTGCCCGCAGGGCTGCAAACAGCCCTGAGGATAGGAGGCGGCGGGTGGGCAGACCCTCTGTGTGATCCCACGGGCTGAGCCTGTCTCCTCACACCGTCCATGCCCCATATCACTTCCCCTCTCTCGGCAAAATTCTGGCTCCATTGGTGCAGATACCATCTGCTTGTACCACCTGTCCCTCCCTCCCTCCTGCGGTTGTCATCTACTGGCCTCTCCTGCAAACTTTCCTGTTCAGCGCCTTCAGCGCCACCTTACTGTCATTCCTCAGTGGCCACAGGGATTATCCTCCAACATGCTGTCCCTCCACTCCTTGACCTCCTCACCTTCAGGGCCCTTTCCTTCCTTCCACCTCAGCCACTCATTCCTGTGACCTCTCTGGGCCCGTCACCAGCTCTGAAATCTCTCTTCTTAGCACCTGTTTTCTAACCACCATCTCCTTTTACCCAGGAATAAAAACATCCCAAAGCCACCTCCCGCTTAAGCTGCCTGCCCCTGCCCAGGCGCGTAGAGGGGCACCCCGGTGTGTCACCTCTTGCTCCCGGGGCTCGGCGTCCAGCCGTGCCCGCGCGTGGAGACGACACTCGCGCACGGTGCACGCGCTGCACACGCAACAGAAAAGCTCGAGCGGCCACCCGTGCAGGGGGCAGAGCGCGCCAGGGCGGGACTCGGGCCCGAGGGCGGAGCTAGGGCTGGGGTGCGGCTCGGGGATCGGGGGTGGGAGTGGGGGTTGGGGGCCGGGGCAGCCCCCGCGAACACAACTTCGAGCACGCCGCTGATGGCCATTTTGCGGGGCGGCTCGGCCCGGTCGGCGACGGGCTCCTGGCACTCCGGACAAGCCATTTCGCGCCGGCTCCACCAGTCCCGTATGCAGGTTCTGCAGAAGTGGCCGCAAAGCAGCGTCACCGAGTCCTGATAGAGCCCCACGCAGATGGGGCAGGTCAGCTTGTCCTCCAGCAGCTGCGTGGCCATGGCTGTGGCGGGCGCGGGGGTCAGCGGCCTCTGCAGGGGTCGCGAACCCCGCAGGCGGCGGGAGAGAAGACCCGCCTACGGAGACCACCGTGACAACCCTTCTGCCTGCCTCCGCCTCCCCTGCGCCTGCCGCTTCCGGCTCGGCCTCCCTCCCCCTGCTCCCCCATCTGGGCGCTGAGCCACCCCTGCCTGCCTGCTGCCACCCCAGGCCGGGAGCCGGGGTCCTGCTCTGTCTGGTCCCATCCTGTGACCTCCAACCCGCTTGGCTAGACTTAGTCCAGAAGCCCCTGTGTAGGGGATTTGGCCCCATAGCGACAAGAGCCTTTGGGGACCCAGCTGGGCTTCTGGCCTCTTGGCATAAGGTCGCCACGGAACCTCTTCTGGGTCCCTCACTTGAAAACAGTAACTGCATCTACCACCCAGGCGTTTTGGCTGTTAAATGTGCACACGTAGGAACGCCGGGCAGTGGGGGCACCGGAACACAGCTACTAGTTCATTCAGTGCCCTCTCCCGACCTCCTCTGTAGCACTTTTTCCCATGAGCTGGGTTTCACACATTTCCTGGATTGGGGTATGTCCCTTCTTTAAGCTACACTTAATTTTTTTTTTTTAAGTAAACAGTGAGGTGGAAATTTCTGGTCACTAAGAGACCGTCAACAGTGTTTTCTTCACTCCCCATTAATGGAAACTCCAACCAACCTACACCAGCACTTAGAATCATCCCCTCCCTGTCGGTGCTCGGCTGGGGGAAGTCCCCCCTTGCAGGTTCGGGCTGTTCTGGACCCTCACATTGCAGGAAGGGGTTTCCCCTACAGCTGGAATGGGGTCCTGACTGCTAACCCACCTACCCCGGGGCAGTGTGTGTCGGGCCTGAGCAGGTTGGAGGAGTGTTAACTGTCCTAACCAAGCTGGCCTAATTTTGAGGTAGGATGCCCTCTCACTGCCACACAAGCTTATGTTGTAATGTGACGTTTCTTTCTAAAAAAGGTGCAGATCTCTTCTTGACTGGCTACTATGCAGTCTCCTCTCTTAAAGAGGAGAATTATATAACACACTTCCAGTGAGGGCACAGGGGCTTTCTGGGTCTCAGGGACCTCCGTTGCCCCACCTGCCACCATGCTGTGAACACCAGGCCAGGGGCCAATGCCTAGGGCTGGCAGATTTCTTCCAAGAGGACTGTGGGGGCAGCCAAGGCCCACTGCCTGCTCTCCTATGCTTGTGTTCCACTGGCTCACAGAGCCTGACACCCTCAGGAGGCAGAGGTGAGGGGTCACTTCTTGGGGTAGGAAGCACCCCTTTCCACCCATGAAACAATCGACTCCACCAGAGGGGCTCTGGCTGCTCCTGGGACACAGACCCACATCAGCTACAGGAAAAAATCATCTTTATTCATTCCCTCATGCCCGCTGCCACCATGACCGTCCTGGGAGGTCCACGGAAGGGCTGCCTCGGGCAGGCTGGGCACCCCGCAGCTTGGCCCCCTGGAGCTGCGTCCTCATTGCTCCTGCCGGCAGTCTGACAGGTTGGCCTGCGAGGCCCAGCCCACTCTCGAGGAGGGTGGTACTCGGGCCACTCAGTAGATGCCGTAAGTGGGTTCATGACTGTCCCTGTACCGGTCTAGGTAGCGCAGGGGCTGCCGGTGGGGGAAGCGCTTCTGCTTGGGGTGGTAAGGGGGTGGCCGCACAAACTCAAACACAGGCTCCCGCATGTCTGCAAGAGAGGGTCGGGCATAGTGTGGACGCTGCCAGCCTGAGATCCCTCCCATCTGCTAAGCTGCGACCACCCAGCCACCCACCCAAGGAGCATGCCTCCAGGTGGTCCTCTCCTGCCAGATCTTTCTCCCTGGCAGGTCAGCGGAGGTCTGTGAGCTCAGGCCAATTACCCGCCCCAGTCCACTCTGCCCTTACCCAGAAGCTGGTGGAAGATGTGGGTGACCGAGTCATCCCAGCGGCACTGGAAGAAGGCCAGGCCAGCTGGAGTCATGGCTTCCTGGTGTTTCTTGTAGAAATCAAAAGTGTGGAAGGTCCGCTGGGCAAGCTGGTAGCTACAAGACGGGGAGCATTTGAAGGTGGGCAGGAGGGCGCCAGAGCCCCAGGCCCTGCCTCCAGCCCCACAGGCAATCCCAAGAAGCACCTTAGGGCCCACCAAGCATAACAACCCTTCTGCCTGTCTCAAGACCTAAGTTAAGAGAGAGGAGGACCAAGTGAGACTGACTATTCTTGGGACACTGGCCTGAGGCTTACGGGGATGTGTGTAGGGGGGGTGTCGATTACCAGGGTGAGGGCCGGGTATCCCCAGAGAAGTCAACTGGCTTGTCCTGCTTGAAGAGCAGGAAGACAAAACGGTGGAAGCCAGAGCCTCGAGCAGGGAAGGGGGGCAGGTAGGGGCACGTCTCTTGTCCATCTGCTACCCTGTTGCCTGGGATGTTGGTTCTGGTGGGAGGAGAAATATGTTAATTGCCACTCCAGGGAGGTCGCAGCGGGGCCTCCTCACCCATGTACACCCCAGAGAGGGATTCATCTCTCCTGGAGGACAGACCCCAAAATATCTCTATTACACAATCAAGCTGGAGGTAGAGCTCTGCGACCCCTTGGAAGGCAGCTATGCTCACCACTGTACCACCAACGCGTGTGACCCCCTTGGACAGACTGCAAACTCGTGAGGAGCTCAGAGGCTGAGGACAAGGCTCCTAGGCACTGTCAGGATGACAGTGACTGTTTACTGGTCCCTGGGGAGCAGCGGGTGCTGTGTGGTCATTCAGGCTGGAGAGCCATGCCACCTTTGGGCTGCTTCTCCATTTTCTGAAGGCTCTGTCTGGAGTTTGCAAGCGCTTGCTCAGCCTGGCACTGTACCTGCACCAGGTGCTCCTCCCCAGAGAGTTCCGCTGCACAGGTCAGTAACTGCAGTGGAATAGAAAAGACACAAACCACCCTCCCAGTTCCCGGCCCCGATTACCTAGGGAAGCCTGTCCAACTTCTCATCTCTGGTCTGGTGCAAAGTGCCCAAGGCTGAGTAAACAAAAGGCAGCCGAGCCCAGCACGTCCCAGCTGCCAGTGGCCTCTCATGGTCCTTTTCCCATCTGATTGTTGCAGAGCCCCTCAGAGTGGCTAAGGCACCCTAGCTTTGAAGGCATCATTCTAGTTTTACAGATGAGGAAATGAGTTCAAGGGGACCAACAGCTCTGTGGGCGGGGCCAAGGCCTCCTGCCGCCCTAAGGAAGGAGAGGTGAGGGGCCACCTCTCAGGTGGGACAGTGAAGCCAGGACTGAAATTCCTGCTCCAACCAGGATACCAGGCTTTCTTCGCATGCCTCTGACCCACTCCAACCCCAGGTACTCACAACAGCCAGTGGATGTATTCAGTATCCGGCTCCAGCAGGTGTCCATCTGCACACAAACAGACCCCACTGACTTACCAGCGCTGCTGTCACCTCCCATCTGGCCCCGCTTGGCTCCCCAGGGCCCCCAGGCGGCTCATGGGAGCTGACGGAGGCAGGAGAACCGGTGAGCCCCAGACACCTACCCAAGTTGGTGAGCAGCAGGGTCCACAAGGAGCCCTCATCTGCTTCATAGGTCACTTCTGGGGCCTGGGCAGCCTGGCGGGGAGAGAATGGGTGAGCTGTTACCCCCACCAGGGATGGACAAGCTGTTGTACACAGACCTTTTTTCTGGAGAGCAGGAACCTGAGGGAACTTTGGAGAAGGGAGAGTCTGCTCTAACCCAAATGACCTTGACAGCCCTTCCAGAGGCAGGTTAGCAAAGAGGGGCTTATGCAAGGGGCCCTGCAGAGCTACCTCCCCAGACATATGAATCACAAGAAGGCCCTCGAGGCAATGGGCACGGGCTGGGAGGGCACTCTGAGACAGTGGGCCAGTCACAAAAATGAGCTATTAAGATGGAGCTTCTTTTTCTTTAATATTACATTCTTTTTTCTGTAATTACGAGAGCTATTTAAAAGGAAATTAAAAAGACAGAGAACAAAAGAACCCCAATCAGCCTATGTAATGCCATGGTTGTGTCCTTAACCACCATAAAAACTGTCTCTACAAATGCTTTCAAAAAGGAGTTGTCTGGGGGCCCTGCTGGGGATGTGTCTGTGTGCACACGGCAGGGAGAGGCACGAGCTAGCAGTTACCTCAGTTGGAGTAACCTCGTTGCCCTGGTACACAGGCATCAAGTTGTCCTCACCCACGGCGTACGCCACATGTAGAGGGACTCGGGGTACGAAGGTGGCACCATGGAACAGGTCTCGGTAGAGGCCATAGTATTCAGCCAGGCGCTGCTTATGGTAGGGGCCACAGGTCTTCTCCCACTCAGCCTGCACAGCCTCCAGGGGGATGCATGCTGGGAAGGAATAATATCACTTGGGATAAGGGTGGGGGCAAGGACAAACTTGGGGCTCTCTCCCCTGGGAAGGCTCACCTGTTCGGAGGCGGGCAGCCCGCTCCTCTTCCACACTGGACCGCAGCTCCCGGAGGAACAGCTTCCGCTCCAGCAGCTGTTGGGTCCGGCAGACAGTGGGTGGGGGCAGCCCAATGTCAACCTTGTCTTTGGGATCTTGGGAAGGAAGGCGTTGTGTTGGGAGAAAGTGAGATCAAGTCTCACTCAGTTAAGCTGCCTGTCCCTACCAAGTCCTCACATTTGCCCAAACTCTGCTGCTCAAGTTTACCCTTTAATTCACAGAATTAAAACATACTGTGCAGTTTGTTTCATAAACCTGAACAGGGTCTAGTTGCTAAGCAAATTGGATACACCTTGAGATTGCATTTTCTGGTCCCTAAACTGGGTCACTCTCTGTCTAGATCATGGGAAACTGAGGTGGCCTGTCATCCCCATTACAGGTGGGATCCACTTTAAGCTTGTTCACAGCTGACCACAGACACACACCTGTGTCTTGGTAGAATAAATAGCTGAAGTTGGAATGACTTAAAGAACTTCTCACGCTTGAATGGACAAGCCATGCATGTCACCTGGGAAATTTGTAAAGATCCATAGTCTGAATCAGCCAATCAGTGGGGCCTGAAACTACATTGCTAACAAATTCCTAGGTAATGCCCATGCTGCTGGTCCCAGAACACACTGAGAACATAAAGGCTCTTGAAAACTTTCAGTTCAACAGCATTTCCCATTTACA